GCTCTCTTTTTCTCTCCCTCTCTCTCTGTAACTCTGACTCTCAAAAGAAATAAATAAATTTTAGAAAACAGAAACATTGACAGTATCTCAGAAGTTCCCTTTTGGCTCCCCTTGTAGCCACCTAGACAACTGTAACCACAGTAGAATAATTTTACCTGTAAGGTTGGTGATATTTGGTAATTAATAATTCAAGTTCTTGGAGGAAGTTGATAGAACTTTACAAGAATATTGCATCTTGTTACATCTCATATAAATTCATCATACCATAGATAGTATATTATAAAGATGGAGTTAGATTACTTCCTTTTTACCTGTGTGAGATCATTTTGTGCTGGCTCTTATAGGTTTAGTTATTCAATATTCTTTCTCATTTAAAAGTCATATTTGTTTCCAGGGGAAAGCATTTCTTTTGTAATCCCAAATGTCTCTTGTGTTCATTACCTCCCTGAAAGGTAAGAGTTTGACTCTAATTAGATTGTTTGTAAATGAACAACTTGATCAAATTTTAAACCACTGACTTGGTCTACATTGCAAAGGCCATCAAACATATGTTACTCCCTCTCTTGATTGTTCGCTCAGCTAACAAGCCATATTTGTTGAGTACCTATTTGGTATAGATCATTCTGCCAGGTACACTAGAGGATAGTAAAAGAAGTGTAAAGGCAAGCATATGGCACAACAGTTAAGTCAGTGCTTGGGAAGCCCCCCTCCCATGTGCTTGATTTGAGTCCTGGGTACTCTGCTTCTGATCTAGCTTCCTGGTAATCTGTACCCCAGGAGGCAGCAGATGTTATCTCAAATGCCTGGCTCCTTGCCGCCTGCATGAGAGATCCAGTTGAGTTCCAGGCTCCTGGCTGTAGCATGGCCCAGCCCTGACTATTGTGAGCTTTTGGGGGAGTGTCGCTCCCCCTCTTCGTGGAGGAACGACACTAAACCCTGCCTAGGCTTCATATCGGAGTCACGGCACCATTATGTCGCTCCCCCTCATCGCGGAGGAACGACATAGGACCCTGCACTGTTCTTTTGTCTGCTCGGCCCTCCCCGGGTTTGCTGCTGGTTCTTCCCGGGTTGGCTACCGTCCCTTCCACCTCCGTGGAAGGGCGGTTCCCCCTGCCACTTTCCCCACTTCCGCGGGGGAGCGGCACACCGCCGGCCGGCTCTCTCGGGGGCTGCACAGGTGTTCCTTCAGATAGATGTTCCTGGTGCATGTTGTCTCTCTCCTCCTTTATAGTCCTCTTCCACCAATCCCAACTCTGCTACCCACACGCCGAGTACGCTGCTCTCCTGCAATCAGGAGCAGGATCAGCTCCTGCAGGTCATCACTCAAGTTGGCGAGAGGCAGCTGCGTAGAAGTTTTTACTCCCTTCTCAGCGCCATATTGTGGGAAAGCAGATGCATAGAATAAGTCTTAATTCCAGTAACAGTCTAGTCCGAGTTGCTCCCCACAGGGGAGTGAACCAGTGGATGGAAGATCTCTCCTTGTCTCTCTGTGTGAATGTCTCTCTACATTTAAAATAAAATGTAAATAAATTTAAAACAAATTTTTGGGACCAGTGTTGTGGCATAGCAGGTAAGGCTGCCACCTGCAGTACTGGCATCCTATTTGGTTGCCAGTTCATGTCCTGGATGCTCCACTTCCAATATAGTTCCTTGCTGATGGTCTGGAAAAAGCAGCAGAGGATGGCCCAAGTGTTGGGACCCTGCTACCCACGTGGGATACCTGGAGGAAGCTCCTGACTCCTTGTTTCGGCATGGTCCAGCCCTGACCATTGTGGCCATCTGGGGAGTGAACCAGCAGATGGAAAATCTCTCTTTCTCTTCCTCTCTCTCTCTAACTCTGGCTTTCAAATAAATAAACAAATCTTTAAAAAAAATTTTAAGATCTACACTAAAAAAAAGGAATATAAGATATGGACTTTCCTCTCTAGGAATTTAATACTACTGGGAGGTGATTAAACCTAATAAGAGGGCCAGTTGTTAAATCAACAACAGGAGTCACTGTGCACTTACTCCCCATGTAGGATCTCTGTCCTTAATGTGTTGCACTATGCGAATTAACAGTAAAACTAGTGTTCAAACAGTTCTTTATACTTTGTGTGTCTGTGTGGGTGCAATTGTTGAAATCTTTACTTAGTATATACTAAGTTGATCTTCTGTATATAAAGATAATTAAAAATGGATCTTAATGAAGAATCGGATGGGAGAGGGAGTAGGAGATGGAATGGTTTGTGGGTGGGAGGGTGGTTATGGGGGGAAAAACCGCTATAATGCAAAAGTTGTACTTTTGAAATTTATATTTATTAAATTAAATAAAAGTTTTCTAAATAAAAAAATTTTATCTACAAACCAAAAAGAAAGAAAGAAAAGAGAAAAGAAAAGAAAAGAGAAGAAAAGAAAAGAAAAGAAGAAAGAAGAAAGAAGCTCTCCAAAATTATACAACTAGAGAGTGAGGGATTTGGTGATATAAGCAGTCTGGCTCCAGAGTCCATAGATTTATTCCTTCCTTCCTTCCTTCCTTCCTTCCTTCCTTCCTTCCTTCTTTCTTTCTTTCTTTCTTTCTTTTTATTTGAAAAGAAGAGTTATAGAGAGGTAGAGACACAGAAAAAGAGAGGGAGGAAGGGAAGATCTACTATCTATTCACTCTCTGTGCCGGCCCCATCAGATCACTGCTTTGAAGATATGTCTATTCCACGTACCATCCTGCCCGCCTTGATATCAGAGTCCTCAGCTAATTTTTAGTCTTTGTTCAGCAATGGCAAAAAAGAGCCATCTGTCAAAAATCATGAGCTTGGAAGCTTTGATTGAAACTCCCAAGTAGATCTTTAGCAACTCTTTGCTTCCCTCCAATTTAGGATGCTCCTCCCTACCCCGAAGCCTGCTGGATCTGTTCACTTTATGTTCTGTATCACCTGAATAGAATAATAGAGTTTGGCAGTTGAAGATTTTAGTGAACAGCATTCTTCTTTATTCTTTAGGTGTGTTAATGCCCAATGAGTCATTTATGCTTTAATATTACAGTCATATTCTTTTTCACTAGACACCTGGCCAAAAATCAATTATAATGGAAAAAATGGGAATTTATTATTTAGGAGAGAAATGAGTAATTTTGAAACAGAATATTTTAGGCCAGCGCCGCGGCTCACTTGGCTAATCCTCTGCCTGCAGCGCCAGCACCCCGGGTTCTAGTCCGGTTGGGGCGCTGGGTTCTGTTCTGGTTGCTCCTCTTCCAGCCCAGTTCTCTGCTATGGCCCGGGAAGGCAGTGGAGGATGGCCCAAGTGCTTGGGCCCTGCACCCGTATGGGAGACCAGGAGGAAGCACCTGGCTCCTGGCTTCCGAACGGCGCAGCACGCCTGCCATAGCGGCCGTTTGGGGGGTGAACCAACGGAAAAGGAAGACCTTTCTCTCTGTCTGTCTCTCTCTCACTGTCTAACTCTGCCTGTCAAAAAAATTAAATAAATAAATACATTTTAAAAAATAAAATAAATAAACAAAAGAATATTTTATTTCCCCCCTTTATAAGATTTTTCAGTGGGTTATCAGGCAGGATGATATCATCGGGGTGGAAGAATGGGACAAATAGAAAAGTGTTATTATGTCAGTTTATTTAATCTGTTTTTTAGTATTGTCTATGAGTATAATTTCAGATTAATATGAATGAAACAGGCTTTGGGGGGAGTCATACTAGGAAACTTAAAATTTATGTTGGGGGATAAATTCGTTGGAATACTTCTTTGTAAGTAATGTAAACAGTAAATAGCTTTGTAAATTAAGAAGAATTTTTTCCCATTGGCTAGTGTAGAATGGGAGAAGTTGGGAAAAAATAGTGCTTGAACTAAATAATCCTTTTTAGGGTTTCAATACTGGAAAACTTGAAAAAGTTAAAGATGTGAATTCAAGAGTGAATGTCATGTCTGAGGGAAAGTAGAAAATAGTAGATGAGATTGGCCAGGTGGTATTTCTTTTCTTTTCTTTTCTTTTTTTTTTTTTAATGAAAATAACATTTAAGCCAGGTAGTATTTCAACTGTTGAGCTGAAAAATCTGGATTATTTGCCTAAGAGAGAAATTGTTTTCTTTAATGTTTCCTGACTTCTACCACAAATGAACTCCATATCATCCTCTTTTTTCAGTGCAAACTAATTTTATGACATTTCACACTTTAAAAATGGATCGAATAAAGTTCTCATTTGTTTTTGTAAAATTTGAGATTTCAAATTTAAGACACTTAACACTTTGAAAATCATCTTGGATGACAGGATCTCCTAGCCACATATGATGGCATGGTCTAACTCTATTAAACATTGTGACAATGCATTCTGTAGGCCTTGAATTTTGAAGGGGAATAAGACCTTCAGAACATTCTGTTATTAAGCATGAACTAGTTCACTTTATAAATGAAAAAAGTATTGTTTTCTCCCAACTGTGATATTGAATGGAAAGTAAATGGAAAGAATAAGAGAAACTTTACTGGCAATTTTATAGAAGTACATTCTGTAAGGCAAGAACTAATTATATGTAAAATTTTTATATGTTTTTCAGGGGAATCTATAAAGTGTGTGTGTGTGTGTTAAGAAATTCAGAATGACCACATACAATTTTTAGTTATTTAGAATGAATGGTTTTTCCTTTGAGTAATATCTGGTGGTGATGTAAAGTACAAATGAAGACTTATAAGTCATATTTTTAAAGAAAGAATTGTGTATTTGATATAGGATGATAGACCCCAATATAAATCCTTCTAAAGCATGTAAAACTTAAGCACCCATTGTATCTTTTCCAGAGGCTGCCACATCCAGTTCAGTATCTCTTTAAGATATGATTTAGGTTGTTCTTCATAAAGGTTTTTTTTTTAAGTGTATTAGTAGTCAAATTGAACAGTGTTTCCAGACTGATTTAATAGTTCCAAGAATACTTAGAAAAGGTTTGTGTGATTTTTTTTTAATTTCTAAATTCATCATTTTGATACAAATACCCATGGTTTTCTTCTGTGTTTACATGCAGCCAGGAGCTATGGGCGAAGACGAGGTAAATTTTTTTTAATGAGATCTTTTGCTTGCCAAATTGTGAGTAAATATGAGTGTGTACATGTTTATACCCATATGAGTATAAAGCAATAGTTATTGTATGGTGTGATGTTCTAGCTTAATATTTTAGCAAAATACTTCTTATCACTTTGATTATAAAGTGTTAGTTGTTGATTTGTTCTTTTAATCCTAATAAAGACTGTATCTGGAAGTTTTTGTTATATGGCTTATTATAAATGAATATAAGAATATAAAGGCCACACATAAATATTTTTCTGCCCTGTATTCCCTGGTGTTCTTTTTATACTACTTCGGAAGCAAAAGTTAGGTTTTAAAGGACAATTTTTGTGTTGGCTGATTGTTTTTTTCTTTGTTATATCTAGAAACAGATTTACTCAGAAGCTAAATGAAGCTTAAATTTCAGGGACTCTAACTTCCAGGAGTCTATTCCAAAGTCTTTACCTAATTTTTATGTTCTTTTTCTTAGAGGGATCCCAGATTAGCCTTTTAGTTCCCATAAAACCTTGCATTATCTCCCAGTGAAGCCTAAACAAAATAATGTAACCTTCATTTGTATAGTGCCTTAACCATCTTACAGCATTTCTATATCTAGTTTTTTCAAGTAATTTTATAAGTGGCTTGGGGAAATCTAATGTATTACAAAGAAGATAGTATTTAAGGTCAAACACCTAGGCTGTAATCATTGCCTTATGTCTTAGATCAGATAATAAATCCAATCTTGTCCAACTTCAGAATGTTAATGAGGTTCTAGTTAAAAAAAGCAACATGTAAGGCTGGCACCGGGGCTCACTAGGCTAATCCTCCACCTTGCGGCGCCGGCACACCGGGTTCTAGTCCCGGTCGGGGCGCCGGATTCTGTCCCGATTGCCCCTCTTCCAGGCCAGCTCTCTGCTGTGGCCAGGGAGTGCAGTGGAGGATGGCCCAAGTGCTTGGGCCCTGCACCCCCGCGGCGGCCATTGGAGGGTGAACCAACGGCAAAAGGAAGACCTTTCTCTCTGTCTCTCTCTCTCACTGTCCACTCTGCCTGTCCAAAAAAAAAAAGCAACATGTAAATGAAAAGCATACTACCAATCTGCGTTAGTTTGCTGCTCATTTGCAGAGTTAGTTTGCTGCTCATTTGCAGAAGCTGAATCAGATGGAGTAATTCACTTGTCTAACCTCCGCTTAATGACTCCTTATTTGCTAATGCTTACATTCATCAGGCTGTCTCTGACTTAAGTCTCAAACATAATGATGTTGACTTCCTAGTATTTACTTATTCTAAATATCTGTTGAATGAATGAATATTGGCAGGACCTAACATGTATGTATCATGAAATCATACCACTTTTGTTTTCAATATCACCATGTAGAAAAACATTTGTATACTTGATTATTTTTTAACTGTAGAAATAATATCATTCATGTCTTTTGCCTTATTTTTAAATTTAAAACATTAAAGCCTAGAAATGATATCATTAAAACTCATATTGTATCATACTATTTTTTTTTCATTGTTAGAAAAATAATTACTGTTAGGGAGGAGTAAGGAATGAACCACCTTCTGGAGAGTAGAGAGCAGGCCCTGGCCTCTCCTCATCTCACGTATTAGTCACCAGATCTTTTTTTTTTTTTTTTAAGATTTATTTATCTATTTGAAAGAGTTACGCAGAGAGAGAGAGAGAGAGAGAGAGAGAGAGAGAGAGGTTTTCCATCCATTGGTTTACTCCCCAATTTGGTGCAATGGCCAGAGCTGTGCAATGCCCTAGCCAGGAACTTCTTCCAGGTCTCCTACGTGGGTGCAGGGGCCCAAGGACTCCGGCCATCCTCCACTGCTTTCCCAGGCCATAGCAGAGAGCTGGATTGGAAGTGGACTCAAACTGGTGCCCATATGGGATGTTGGCACTGCAGGAGGCGACTTAACCCTGCTGTACCATAGCGCTGGCCCCCAGTCACCAAATCTTATCAAGATTTTCCCTCTAGTTTTTCAGGCCTTATCCCTCTCATTTATACGTGTTCATTTCTCCTGTACCATTTTTTCTTCTTACTGTTTATGAAACACCACTTTGTATCACTCTCATTCACCATTCAGGGTCCCCATGATCCTGGTCTTTCTGTGTTTCACCAGATTCATCATTTCCATTTTCCCCACCTCCCCTTCCTCTCACCAGTCCACATGTTTTGCCACTCTCCAGCCATCACAAGTACTGACTATGCTTTCTCTCTTTTACTTCTTCTTCTTCTTCTTTTTTTTTTTTTAAGATTTATTTATTTATTTGAGCCAGACAGTGAGAGGGAGAGACAGAGAGAAAGATCTTCCATTAGTTCACTCCCCAAATGGCTGCAATGGCTGGAGCTGCAGCCATCCGAAGCCGGGAGCCAGGTGCTTCTTCCTGGTCTCCCACATGGGTGCTGGGCCATCTTCTACTGCTTTCCCAGGCCACAGCAAAGAGCTGGATTGGAAGAGGAGCAGCCAGGACTAGAACCAGCATCTGTATAGATTGCCGGGGCCGCAAGTGAAAGATTAACCTGCTGGCCCCTCTTCTACTTCTTTAAGGCATATCTTTACTTCAGTAGTTCAAGCCTTAATTTAAGCCTTATCCTTTCCAGAAAGCCTTGCCTATTGACCTTGCATACCGTTTTCCTCTGTTTCTGCTCCCTTGCATTCTTCTTGTCTTTATTATATGCCCTGATTCTTCTATTAGAGAGAAGTTCTTTTAGGACAGTTGCTCTTTTGCCTAACACTATACCATGTGTACAATTAGCCCTTATAAAATGCTTACTTATTAGGATTAAAGTAATACATATCTGTGCAGAACAGAGTTGGGCATTTTTAAAAATACTTCTATAAATATTATATTAAGTGCTGTACCCCAGGAATATAAAATCACATGTTTTCTAAGCTCCTTTAAAAATTATTCTCTCTTTTTCCATGTCACTATCTCTATATCTATTTGTAAGGTTTGATTTTATTGTTTTCAAAAGCTGTGATCTTCTTTGTATCAAGTGTTATACTAAATACGGCCTAGAGTGAGTTGGTCCCTGCTCTTTATAAGTTTGCAAGTTTGATAGTTATAAATGAAGAAGAGAAAATCAAAATTGTATGTGTGAGAGAGAGGTAGAGTGCTGAAAGATTGAATGTTGGGTTTCTGTAATGAAAGAATAGGCAGATATGTTTGGTCCATGCTTTTTAGTCTTCTGTTCCCAACACTGAAAAAGAAGACATATTATCTTCCTTAAATGCAGTGACATAGCCATGGGGATTTACCTCATTTCTAGCACTGTCATTCCTTGAGATATACTCATCTGGACCAATTCTGCATAGTATAATTTTGATGAACTAGCATATTTCCTCATGTTCATTTACTCATTTGATCAGAGATTTAATTGACATTTGATCTTTTTTAAAAGCATAACAAGTAGACTTGCTGATATTACTTCTCTCTACCTATGATTTAGAACTTCAACTGTAACTCATACTCTGTATTAAATACCCATGTTGGCAAAATTTTTGAGTTCTTGTTGACAGGCCAGTGGACTCTTTTTTTTTTTTTTAAGATTTTATTTATTTATTTATTTAAAAGACAGAGTTGCAGAGAGGCAGAGGCAGAAGCAGGGGTAGAAAAAGAGAGATTTCCCATCTGCTGGTTCACCCTCCCATGACAGCCACGACAGCTGGAGCTGGGCTGATACAAAGCCAAGAGCCTGGAGCCTCTTCCAGGTCTCCCACATAGGTGCAGGGGTCCAAGGACTTTGGCCATTTTCCACTCCTTTCCCAGGCACATCAGCAGGAAGCTGGATTGGAAGTGGCGCAGCTGGGACTTGAACTGGCGCCCATATGGGATGCCAGCATTTCAGGCTGCTTTACCTGCCTTGAACTGGTGCCCATATGGGATGCTGGCACTGAAGGTGGTGGCTTTACCTGCTTTACCACAACACCAGCCACTCCCTTTCTGTTCTTAATGTATATCAGAATTTCCTAGTTGTAGAGCAGAAAGGAGAATATAGATCCTTGTAAATAATATAAATAAAGAATGTCTTGAGTTACTATTATAAATATACTTCTGCAAAAATTTAGTCCAAAAAAATCTGTTGACATTCTTGGGTGTCTTAGTTGCTAATGAATGTTCTGAAGTCCAGTAAAACAAATGTATATACTGAGTTGAGATCAAGTCTATCAAAATCCTGCGTGAGGGGATTGGGAGTGATCAGCTGTTCTGATGAGACCATGGTGCAAACATCCGTTCTGCTAACTCATACGCAGTTATATGAGTGTTTTATTTAAAGTTATGGATGGTTGCAGCATAAAATATGGGTAGGAGTTGAAGATTTTTCTGACATGGATTTCTTTTCATGGATATAATACTTAAGTTTTTTGTCTTTAAAGTCATAAAATTTGAGCATAGAAGATAGTAGGGGAATAAGATCCTACTTTTTTTTTTTTTTTTTAAGTTTTGTGGGAAGTTGGTCCAGGAGGGGCTGAAATAAAGAATGAAGGAGTTGTTCTGGATCTTCTACTCATTTTATTCATTAAGCATTTGCCTACTCTGTGCTGAAATCCAGGCATGACCTCTGACCCTACTCATTTTTCATGTTGATAGGAAGAGACAATAAATCAAGGAAATAAACACTTTGATTCTTAACAGTTGTGGTAAGTACTAGGCAGGAAAGAATGGGAGATTCCCTCTAATGTAGGGAGGACACCTCTGAAGAGGTGATATTTAAACTGAAACTCAGAATCTGGTGTTGTAGTGTAGCAGATTAAACTTGCGCCTGTGATGCTGGCAACCCATGTCAGAGCTCCAGTTCAAGTCTGAGCTGCTCTACTTCCCATCCATCTCCCTGCTTATGAACTTTGGAAAGCAGCGGAAGATGATCTGAGAGCGTGGGTCCCTGCTATCCACATGGGAGATCCAGATGGAGTTCTAGGCTCCTGGCTTTGGCCTGGCCCAGTCCTGGCCATTGCAGTTATTCTGGGAATGAACCAGCAGATGGAAGAGT